CACTCGCATGCCGACGGCATGCCGTCGGTATGCCGCCGACGAGCCGGTGCAAGCACAACGCAGGAATTTGAATCTGCCCCAATAACAAACATAAGTTTTGTTTACAAACAAAACACAATCTTATGACATCAAATTTGGTTTGTGCATGCGCGCTAAGGACCCGAACTCGGCTGAAGAGTTTATAAGAACTTATGTGAATGAAAGCGCTGAACTTGTTTCTAAATTAGCTAGTATGTGCCAGCGGAGTGCCAGCTGTGCTGACACAGGCTCTTTGCTCACGTAAGTTTTCACAGTTTTCTTACTCAGGTTATATCTACACTGTAAAAGTTTACATATAAAAACGATTTTATAATGCTTACTTTTCTGCGTTTTATAGCCATTTCAAAAGTTCTCGGTCTGTTCTACAGTCGAGAAATCGAATCTGCTTCAATCACAAAACGCGCCTTGAACAAATGCAAAACAGGTAAAGGGGACTTCGCACAAAATTTCCAAAATCAAAGGGGCTTCGTTTTGCAATTCCCCTGGTGCTACTCGCGGCCCTGCTCCAAACATTAAACTTTGCATTTGAGCATTGAAAGCCTATTTTGCTTTAGAAAGAAAGCTCCAGCAAGCGAAAAACTCTTATACTAAGACATAGGGTCCCTGACCCCTTATATCGGACTTCTTTTGTCAGTGCTTGGAAGTTATGAATGGTATCCTTATATATCCTTGAATAGTATCCTTAGCACCGTTTTTTCATTGTTCCTTAAATTGTGAATACACCATGTGAAAAACCTGAAAACCCAGTCAGAAATAGACTGCTGAGATCAGCGCTCTGTGCTGGAAATTTCTACCGTATGCTACAGTACTAAAGAGCGATCGCGAGCTGCTTCATAATGTGTAAGTCTAGGTTAGAACTAACTTCAAACAATGGTACTCAGAGGTGGGCTAAAGGCTTTGTGGGAAAACAGATACTGACGATCAAACAACACATGCTCACTTTTGAACAATCTGGTTATGTCAAATGCGATCACGGAGAGAAGCGTGCAAGTGGAACCCCGGCAGCCACTGCTGTCGCAGCTAGACGTCGGGGCTCTCGGCCAATTCGCTGCACATGGCACAGTAATTATGCTCATCGTTTAAAATCTTGCGCAGATTTTCTCGCACCTCGTCGCGCTGAAGTGCAATATTAGCCTCAGGGGTAGCGTCATATTATTAGTATTTATATCATTTGCATCAAAAACTCTATTTTATTGAGAACCATGCAATCGCATAGGAAACTATAGAGAGGAATTGAAAATGATTTACAGACAGTTCCAAAAATGAATAAATAGGAGACCAAATACTTTTTTCCGAGTCATTTTGAGCATACAAAGTGATTGAAAATTGTGTCTAATCTTAAAAAAACTCTACTTCATAGCTTTGTTTATTAGGTTGGAAACTAAGTTTTGCAACTGGCCTCATAACTTCCCTCTCACTCAACATGGCGCACTCAAATTTTGTCACTGCATTGGTTATTACGTAAGCTACAAGCGCAGCTGCTGCCCTAACAAATTCTGACGTCGCAGTGAGGGTTACGGTAGGTGCATGGTATGAAGGGGAAAAATTCAAAGTTTGACGGATTTGGCTGAAACTTGGCATAGGGGTGTTATCCGACATGCTAATCACGAAAATGATAGTGAAATTGCGTGATAAGGGCTTTTTGCAGGATTACTGTAGGTGTACGATATGGGGTCTCACCCTAAACAAGGAAAAAGACGTTGAATCAACAAATGAATGTGATATTCGCGTTTGGCAGGTCAAGTAACCTTACTGTGTAAAGTCTGGCGGAATTTGAGCTTCGGACTCTTTAGGGCCGCATGCACTAACCTCCCCTCGGGGGAGGGGATCGCAGCTTAAAAGAAAGCTTTATATTTCGAAACTCCAGATACCTGGACTTCACGTTGTGTACCTATTCGTAAGTATTCCTACTACCCTTCACTATGAACATGTTGAAGGCTGTACGAACCGCATTTTCCAGCTTTTGTATGATCCCTGATGATCCCCGGCGCTTTTCTTTAAAGTCATTTTTCTTTCTCCGAAGTTAACGAAAACTTTCCAAACCTGTACTGAACATTTAACACAACAGTGCTAAGCATGTTGCTGATAAGAACAAATGAGTTTTTGAAAAGTCGAATTTTTCGGTAAACCTCAAATTTCGACCTGTGGTTCATCACAAATTTCATGAATCCGATACATCACTTGTTCTTGTCAGCAACATGCTAAGCAGTGTTGGGTTAGATAATATGCACAACTTTGGAAACTTTTCGTTAACTTTGGAGAAAGAAAAATGACTTCAAAGAAAAGCGCCGGGGATCGTCAGGGATCATACAAAAGCTGGAAAATGCGGTTCGTACAGCTTCTCACTCCTGTTCAATATGTTCATAGTGAAGGGTAGTAGGAATACTTACGGATAGATACATAACGTGAAATCCAGGTATCTGGAGTTTCAAAATATAAAGCTTTCTTTTAAGCTGCGATCCCCTCCCCGCGGGGATGTTAGTGCATGCGGCCCTTAGTCATTGACGGTCGTCCCCAGCAGCTCTTGCGTACATCGACTCGTTCGACTTTATGAAAACGCCAAATCTCGATATGCCTCTAAATTTTGTTTCTTTCTTACTAGGCGAAAGGAGTCAACCTCCAGCAATAATTTGTAGACGAATGCGGTTACTGCGCATGGCCTAGGCTGCCAAAGGCTTCATTTTAGCTTGAAACCCCAAAAATTCTCAAATTTCACGGGTAATCGAAAAATGGCTGAAACTTTTCTATTTCGTGTTCAAAATCTAAACAATTTGTGCTCTCTTGTAGCTCACATTGCCTTCTACATAATGCCAAAGTTTGAATGCGCCATATCCAAAGAGAGTGAAGTTATGAAACCAGTTGCAAAACTTAGTTTCCAGCCTAATATTTGCATGGTTCTCAACAGAACTGCGAAGCTTTCTAAACGATGTAACCGCAATTTTTAGGAACATTGAAACGCGGTCGCTACTGCTTACCTGCATAACTTTTTAATAAAGCATCATGATAAAATGGGTACTTCACATTCAAAATCATTAACTTTGAATGGCCCGAGGGTTTTTAGGTTGTTCTGTTTCCTTTTCGAAGCAAAATATGGCCTTTCATAACTCAGAATCCTCTTCAAATTTTTTACCGTAATCCTACAGTAATGAAGAGCAGCCGGTAGCCGCTCCATATCGTAAATTTAGGTTGAAGCCAGATCTACAGAACGGTGCCTAAAGCTTCTCGGATATCTTCATTACAAGGGAGTTGTGAACAATCAAACATTGGGCACATCCTTTTGGAACACCTTGTATGTTATATGTGACGACAGGGATTGGCAATGTCCCTAGTCAGGGCCCGGCACGAGGTGGGCAAATGACAAGCTGGAAGTCGTTTTTTGGTGGAAAAAGCAAGGGGAAATCGTTTTTGCGGGGTTCGGAGCAGAGCCCCGGAAGAACATTCCAGTGCAAGCAAAAGAAGGTCAAATCATGCTTATTACCTTATACATCTAATTCATTGGGAAGTGTTTTTGATAAGCCTCAACGCACAGCAGACTTCGCGCGCGCTACGTCGCGCCGCCGCTAATTGCCTAATTGTCTCGATGTCGCGTAAGCGATGGCGCTGAACAGCATGATTACATGATCAGTTCTCAATGCAGGCGTAACGATACAGCACCAATTTACGTAAGCGAACGAAGAGAGGCTAGTAGAAGCAAAGTATGAAATATTATGAAAAACTTATGTGAATGGGAGGTGTAATAAACATTTTTTCCTAAAATTTTGCCAAAGTGATAAATGAAGACGTGAATTCAAATGGCTCGATTGCGCCGCACAGATGACCATACGGTATGAAACTTGGTAGGACATGAAGATGGGCCCGCAGGAGTTAACTTAGAAGTTTCATTGAAAAATTGTGTGCCTGAAAGCTGTGGCAAGCTTTTTTCTGAAAATTTCCCACTATGAAGAAAATAGAAAAATGGCTCGTTTGCAGCGCAGAGAGAACGAAATCGCGCGAGACTTGGTGTGTATACGCGCAGTAGGACTAAGGAACAATGTGTAAAAATCATGAAAAACTTATGTGAATGAAGAGCGTGCCCAATTATTTTCCAAATTAGTGGGCAATTGCCCACCTAATGCCCACCTGAAGTGGGCAAAACTTTCAATTCAAGTTTTCCAAAATTTTCACATAAATCTGTTGTACACCTAAAGTTTACTACATGATGAAATTTTGGTTCCGAAACTCCTCCTCTTGGCTTTGTTAGAGCCCAAAATCGCATCAGCAGCCTAGTTTCTAAGATGGAAAGCGCGCCCCAGTCAATCGATACGCGTGGGAACGGCGTCTCTTAGTCCTATAACTGCACTGCCTTGATATTTCTTTATTCCTTCATTATTTTTTTGCTTATTCTTCTTCCTGTTTTCTATCTTGATACAGGTAAGGAGTAATTAAAAGAATTTGAGCGTTTTTGGGCGCTTTTAAACTCTTTTAGGCGAAGTGTGGCCGATTTTCGTTGCAGAACACAAAGCATCGTTTTTGGGCTTCACGGGGTATTTGTAAGAAGTATTGGGATCAAAAAGGAATTCGTTCTGGGAAACCCCGTTTGCCCACCTCGTGCCGGGCCCTGTCCCTAGTCTTAGCCATTCATGTCCTAGTCATACAACCTATGACTTGTCTCACTTTGCGCGTAAGCTTGAGAGATAGATAACGCTTCATTATCCCATTTTAACATTTACAGAAAAAAAGGGTATATTTTCTTTTATTCTGTCCACATTATCAATTGGCCATCGTAATGTTCTTGCATTAGCGCCCGGCGTCCTTAAATTCGTGTGTTTTCTGACCGATCTAGTTGCACAAACAATCTCACTACTTGTCACAAAATGCTTCCTCAAGGTTGTAGCCATGAATATGTGATACCGCACTGTTGTAAATTGGTGCACTTGCAGATCAGCACTTTTTCAGAACGAGAGACTCCTCATATGCTTCAGATATCTTATGGCTTCTTGTTATCTCGGATCTGGCAGTTTATGTCTGGGTCAATAGCTTACGAGTTTTCAAAGACAACTTTGTCCTCCACTGATTACGAACCTCTGCTTAATCGAAATGAAGAAGGCACTTTAGAAGCAGACAATAATTCGTATGCGGACATGGGATCTTCCATGAATAGGAGAGGTAAGTTTGGTGATAGATGATTATTATAAACACAGAAAAAACGCCAAGCTTTCATGGCTTCTTATTTTCTGAAATAATTTTGTAAACTTGTAATCAATTAATAGTGAATCCCAAGGTCAAAAAAGTTGTTTTTTCAGCGAGCTAATGCGATAAAACTTGTAGCTTCCTTAGTGAAGTAAACTAATGGCTAAAGATGAGAAGAAAATAAAGTGCCCGATTTTTCTATAAGGTCTTTTTGCGCGACTATGAATCTTATGTTCTACTAATCACTAGCTAGCGTCACTGCCAACTGGTGGCAAATGGCTTCGGCGTGACATATTTCGTTATACGATGAGATATTAACAGAAGAAATCAAAGACTTTGAGCTCACTTTCTCCAGTGCTCGCACTTTAACCTAATCATATCTCTTATCATTGCTTCGTTTAACATGAATGCAAATGCTTGCTCTACCTTGTCGCTATGAACGCTTGGCTAATAGTGCTTGTTGCAACTTATGGTCTTCCTACTTTTTGGAGGCTGAAAGGAATTTTGAACCATTCTTCAAGGATGCGCATGCCGGACTTACACTGCTTGACTTACACTTATAATCTAGCAGTTGCTCCCCTCACTTGTAGTGGCATTTCTTGACCTTCGTATCCTGAAACGCGAAAGCTTTGATTTTGCGCTGCTTATCCGTTTTGAGTTGTCTACAATATTTATTGAGACAAATATATGGAGCGAAAATGATAAATACAAACTGCTGCAATATTCCATCCTTTTGCACGAGTGATAATCTTTGACTTATGTTCCTTTTTCATAAAAACCTTAGAATTATGATAATAATCTAATGCAGTCATTGCGACAAAAGCCCAGCACCCCTGGTCTGACAGGACGCTGCCTTCAAACAATGCTTCTCCTGGGCAATGATCAAGCATGCGACCCCAAAGCGGCTACTTGACTTCAATTTGTTGCTTTTGAAGTCTTCGGAGATTTATCTGGAAAAGAAATGTAAACACTGGACAACTGGACAACCGGTGCCGCGCACCGCTGCACAACACTGTCGTCGACGTGTTGACAATCGCTGGGTGGGTGACTATCACTGCTCGTAAACTGAGAAGTTTCAGCTGGTAAAAAAATTGCGGAATCTGGCAGTTAATGTTGCATTTTGTACAGCCAGTAGTCTCAATATAAGACGTACTTGTTCAGACGGATACATGAATTGTGTCGTTGCGAACAAGGGCTTGTTTGACTGTTGCCGGATGTGCTGAGTTATTATGCAGTACACCTTTCGAACTTTTTGAGTACCATTTTATCGGAATGATATTATTGTTATCCGATAGACGTATGTAATCACAAAAAGCTATCTATTTCTTTTTTGGAGTTTCGATTATTCGTGTCGTGTGAACTTGATATACTATGGTTACTGGTGAAATTTTCGAGCAATCGAACTGTATAAATTGAACTGTAACACGTAAGCCAGCAGCCATTGATGTAACGGCAGTAAATCAATAGTGCGAAGCAGCTTGCGATGATTAGGCTAACGGCTGCGCGCGGGCTCCCTCAATCGTCTCTGACAGTCCCGTGAGGAAATCAGTCGTTGAAGTTTTACGCTTACTTTTCGCGCAAGAGTGATCGTTGATGGGATTTCAAAGCAGCCCAGTTTGCTTCAAAAGTCGCTGTTTTGTTCATGCTGCACACGAGAGATCTGGTAATGACAATGGCTTTCCAAAATGGGGGTTGGGTACTGAAAAACTTGAAAAAAAACGTAACTTGGAGCAGAAGTTGCGTTACCATTGGAGTTTTTTGCAGAAGCGGAGATGAAGGAGTATGAAGTGCTCAAGATTCGTAGTTTTATCTAGCTTTCATTAAGTAAAACAGATTTATATATGAATGTCGAAATTTCCTTAAGAAGAGTGGATGGCTTTGCTGGCAGATATCTGAAGACTGGTTCCATCTATTTGGAAAATTATCGGCGCATATTTGATTTGATGTCCCTCCTCATGCGCATATACACCCCAAGTTTGGTCTCATATTACTCTTTTTTCGCCAACAGACTCTGTGTTTACCCGGGCGATTGTGATTTTTCACTTTGTGCGAAACCGTACCAGAGCACTGATGACCCTGTCTTAAGTCATTCGCACTGATGAGAATATTTGAGAGAAAAATGGAAATATAGAATTCAATATCGACGCATATGTCGCCATTCTTCGTTGCCTCGCCCCACCCTCGGGCCTTATAAAAGTGTACTCTTTTCCAAAACCATATTTAATTCCTTCCTATGCCAGCCGTGACAAGCCCTGTAACCAAAACTTTGATAAAAAATGATTATCGAGTGCAGCTTCAACGATGGGCAACAAAGAAGAGGACTACGTCTTGGCGTCCTGTTGGAATCCTCTCTTGTATAATCGTAAGGCAAATTGCTACGCACATTAGTTAAGCGCATTCGTGTCGGTTGTCAATTTTTCAACAATCTTTACACTTTCTTGTACTATCTAGAACTATCTGCTTGAGAAGTTCTCGTTATGAGTGTGAAACTGAGGAGCTTAGTCTCTTTTCTCGCACACTGTATATTGAACTAGTTTTTAAATTCAGATCGAAGAGTTAACTTATGATTGTAGGCGCATCAGGAAATTACTTAACAAGGCTGAGGACGAACTGACCAGACTCTCCAGTACCCTATTTTCACGAATACAGTAAGGTTTTTTGTCGACCATTCCAGAGGAAGGCTAAAAGATTTAGCAACTCAAACCCTCTACTTGTTGCTCATTATCTAGAAAAATTAACATACCATCGTTTTTTGAGGTGAGTAAAGCGGCTGAGCTGCTGGCACTGGATAACGAAAAAAGTATCCTTGCACTTATAATCTTCAACTCTGTTGTGCCGTACAGGTTTGTTATGGTGGCAGATTCATTCGTACTGGCCTAACGTTTCGACGCTTTCGTCGCCCTCAGAGGCCTGAAAACGACTCAAGGCATCATCCGTAATACCAGACCACCAGATATCTCCTCTAACTCAGCCAGTTTCGACTTCATTCTAACTTCGCGTCGCAAAAATCCTCAAGACAGATATACTCACCCTTGCACCACCGCTATTCGAAGTGTCCGTACGACTGGATGTGACAAAAGTTGACGGACAAGTGAGTGATACAGTAGAATGCGCATCAAGTTGCTATCCACTATCTACAACTCACACAGTGGCATATACGGCAGAAACTCAACGGTTATAGACAGACACTCATTCTTGTTATTCATTTCTGGAGTCTTTGCGGATATCCAGAAAGCCTCTAGAATCTTCCTAGCCGTAATATCTGTTTCAAACGCCAGAATTTTGCATTTGACTGCAAAATCATTTCCCTCATGCGCGTCACTCCTAGGTTTGCCCAACGGGGTTACTAAACTCTTCCGTCTCTTGCTTGCCAGATGTTCTTTCAAGCGTACCCTTAACACTCTACCAGTTTCGCCAATATATTTTGCTTTGCAATCGAGGCATTCGAGTTGGTATACTACTCCCACCCTTGCGCAGTCACCTTCTCTGCTGTATGGACACACAATGCAATTCTCCGTTATACATTGTCGATCGTGAAGACGATTACGGACAAGCTGTTTTTTGAGATTGTCGTTCGGTATGTTAACCAAAACAACCCGTCTAGTAGCTGTGCCCGCGAAATGCATTGTTGGAAGGCAGAGCTGACTTTATCTGAAATAAACGGGAGGCAGAGTGCGAGTTTGTTTTCGATTCGAATGCGGTCTTTGCGTAAACGCTGTTGACGATTACGACGTTGCGTTTGCGCCAAAATTGCGTAGCCGTTACTGCGGGCGATCTGTGAGGCTAGACATCGCGCTTCTAGGCGTTCATCCTCTCCGTTTTTGCAACTATTCTTGCGATACCACTTCGTTGTTACAATGCCATTGCTTAACTTGACCAGGGTGTTTAGGTAAGGCAACCACCCCTCCCGTGGTTTTTCGCGAGTAAGCCGGATGTACTGCGACTGTTGGTTGAGGATCCTAAAACACTCGTCCATTTCGGACTGTGTAGAGGTCACCAAACAACAGTCATCGATGTAGCAGCAATACATCAACGGCATTCGACTCAACATAGGCTCTTCGACTTTGCTCATAAAACATATGGCGAGAACCGGTGCTAGTCTCTGACCCATAACTAGCCCGCGGATCTGGGAGTGGTAAACTCCAGACCATCGAAAGATATTGCAGCGTAAACACTCGCTCACTAGGGTCATAACTCGCATCTTGCCAAGTCCATAGAAGTTGATAGATCCAGCGTGTTTATCTAGCAGTTCCGATAGTGCATGCAAAGCTTGATGGTTTTGTACATTTGTGTAAAGTGAGGTCACGTCGAATGACTCAATTACACTATGCGGGTCAAACTTTGTGTTTCGGATTTGTTCGATAAAGTCTATCGTATTGGATTTTGAGCTGGTATCTTAGCTAGCAACTGACTTAGAATTTTATGCAAAAACCAAGCAATTGAGGCCGCCTACGCTAGTCTCATAAAGACTCATAAACTATCCTTGCAAGATACAGCTTCATTGTCGGCTGAAACTTACAAGATCAGGCCTATAATCAGTAGCGTAGGCGGCCCCTCCGGTCAAATTGCTTGGTTTTTGCATAAAATTCTAAGTCAGTTGCTAGCAAAGATACCAGCTCATCTATCCAATACGATAGACTTTATCGAACAAATCCGAAACACAAAGTTTGACCCGCATAGTGTAATTGAGTCATTCGACGTGACCTCACTTTACACAAATGTACAAAACCATCAAGCTTTGCATGCACTATCGGAACTGTTAGATAAACACGCTGGATCTATCAACTTCTATGGACTTGGCAAGATGCGAGTTATGACCCTAGTGAGCGAGTGTTTACGCTGCAATATCTTTCGATGGTCTGGAGTTTACCACTCCCAGATCCGCGGGCTAGTTATGGGTCAGAGACTAGCACCGGTTCTCGCCATATGTTTTATGAGCAAAGTCGAAGAGCCTATGTTGAGTCGAATGCCGTTGATGTATTGCTGCTACATCGATGACTGTTGTTTGGTGACCTCTACACAGTCCGAAATGGACGAGTGTTTTAGGATCCTCAACCAACAGTCGCAGTACATCCGGCTTACTCGCGAAAAACCACGAGAGGGGTGGGCCTTACCTAAACACCCTGGTCAAGTTAAGCAATGGCATTGTAACAATGAAGTGGTATCGCAAGAATAGTTGCAAAAACATCCTCATCAATGCAAAGTCTGCACACCCCATGAGCACTAAACTATCTGTAATCGGCAATATGTTTAAAACAGCAGTACTCTGCGTTGATACCACTGCTT